ACACACAGAGGCGACCGAGACCTTGTTGAGGCCATACGGCGCGTCGTCGTCCGCATATTTCTTCTTGAAGAAGGACTGGATGGGGTTGGCGCCATATTCCGCAAGCACGCGCGCCATTGCCTCCGATGGAATGCGCTGCAGCATTCCAAAGACAGGTGTCACCGCCAGACACCGGTACGGTGTCAGCTTCAGGTCCAGGTTCTCCTTCTTCAACAGCCGGTCCATGAGCGTAATGACCTGCAGCACCAGTTGATCCTGCACAGAGTTGCACGTGAAGTCGAGGAGAAGGGGGGAGAAAAAGACGTGCAGTTGAAGGAGTGGATGAATGTGCGAACGAGGGTGTGGGAGAACGAATTACACACGTGAGCGTGGGTGAGCATGCGTGACCGTAGAACCACGACAGTGCAGCAGAAAACACACACACACACACACACACACACACACACACACACACACACACACACACACACACACACACGCACACACGCATCGTACACAGACAGCCGCTCAACCAGCAAACCAAGCAAATGCACCACACAGACAACAGCGCTGCCCGCAGCCTCTCCTCACATCCCTCCTCTCGCACCTGTCGTAGATCATCGCCATTCTTGAAGATGATGCCGTATTCGCCCTTGTTCGTCTCCAGCGTCAGCCCAAGCGGCTTCAGCGCAGACTGCACGCAATTGAACACACACCGTGGCAATCAGTGTGTGCATGTGCGCGTGTGCGTGCGCGTGTGCGTGTGCGCGTGTGATGGGTAAGTGTACAGCAGGAAAAAGGCACAGCGGGTGCTATGCTGTGGTGTGAACCGCATCTGTGTGTACCGCAAAGGGACAACAAACTTTCAGCCATCGCCATTGTCTGTGAACGTGAGTGCACTTAAGTGCAAGCAGCACATTGCGTCAGGACCTTGAAGATGTGCGCATCATCATGGCGAATGGACTTGACAATCACGCCTGCACAAAACATGGTGCAATAACATCATGCAATGCAACAGCAGGTGAGGAGGGGCCTTGCATATGAGATGGCGAGCGACAAGCAAAGACGGGGCAAAGCGTGACCATGTACACAAACACACATGGGGCAAAGCGTGACCATGTACACAAACACACATGCACACGCACGGACATCACACCACACCATACAGCATGAGGCTCCCTCAACGCAGCTGGCAAATGGCCAAGGAAGACAGACCAGGGTCCATGGGAAGTGGAGCGTTGATGTTCTGGAATTGTGGTGACTGCTCAATCATCTCCCGCAGCTTGGCAACCTGCGGCATGCCATAGGGGGAGGTGGATGGGGCGATCCAGCGCTCGTGAGGAAGAATAGAGACTGAGTACTTTGACAAATTACAGACACACACACAAACAAACAAACACACACACAAACAAACAAACACACACACACACGCACACACACACACACACACACACACACACACACACACACACACACACACACCACGAACCTTGCGCGGGCGGTTGCCTTCCATGTCCGCAATCTCTGTTGAAAGCGAACACAGTTCTTCAGCAGCCAATAGCCAGGGGTGCATGGGCATGTGAGGACACACGAGCGTGTGTGCGTGGTGCGTGTTTGTCGCCTCTACGAGGACAGCTGGTCGAGCCGGCACGCCAATCAGGTCAGGAAAGCACACACACACACACACACACACACACACACACACACACACACACACACACACACACACACACACACACACACACGCACACACAGGAGAACAAGAGCAACCCAGCTCATCTCCTACGTTTGACAAATCGTGCGGATGCGTTGATGGCGCGTTCAATTTCGCGCTGGCGAGGGCCACCACCATTTAGCATCCTGTCGAGAGAGAGAGAGATAGAGAGAGAGACACGCACACACATACATGGGTGTGGTCCGTGGAGGTGTAAGGGTTGGTGGCGAGCACGTATGGTTGGGCCTTGGCTGTGTCAATACTCACATGAGCACACGCATAGACACACAGACACACAGACACACAGACACACAGACACACAGACACACAGACCCCCCCCCCACACACACGGCAACCACGACGACAGCGATAACAGTGATGACGTACGCCATGAGCTGCTTGCGGATTTGGCCGTAGAAGTCTGCGTGTTCGACCTGGCGCTCGCGATCGTGCTCTTCGACGTGCAGATACCAATACAGTGTTTGTGCTGCAGAAGGCCGACAGGTGCGTGATGCGGAGGGTTTAGTGGGGAAGGGGTTTCAGAGGAAGGAAGAGATGCAAGTCAGAGAACAGGGTGCGCGAGCCAAGCTCATGTGCGTGCATCTCACACACACACACACACACACACACACACACGAGCACACGCACACACACACACACACGAGCACACGCACACACACACACACACAACCACATGTACGCACCAAACTCTGGGTTCTCTCTTGCGCGTTCGAAGAGGAGCGAGCGGAGCTGGTTCTGCGGTTTTGCGCGGGCGGACTGTTGCTTAGCAAGCCGTTGCATCTCTGGCGATACACGCGAAGCGAGGAGGACGCGTGAGAGAGAGAGAGAGTGTGTGTGTGTGTGTGCGTGCGTGTGCGTGCTTCCACACATGTGCGCGCACGTGCGTGTGAATGGAATCATGCATGTACGTGTGATGTTGGAACGGGCGTTTCATTGCAAGGATCACTCATCACAGGAAACCGAAACTTACGGCCTGGTGCCCACGAAACGCCCATAGCTGGCGAACGACAGAAATGCAGTCAGAACGGCCAGTGAGCGAGCGGAAAAATGGAATCTAGCAAAGAAGTACGACACACACACATACACACCCCCCCACACACACACCCCTCCCACACACACCACACACATCAAACACACAACCACGCCGCACCCTGGTGAACTGGCTGGCGGTGGGCGTCATCATCGACATCGTCGTCATCGTCGTGCGCGTGTGTTGTTGTGCCGTCGACTGAGCGGGACAGGGACCACGGCTCGTACTTGAGCGCCTGCACCAGCTGCAGCAGATACAGCGACAGCTCCTCATCGTCCGCCTGCCCACACCCACAGGAAGCAAGGAGGGAAGGGAGGTGTGTGTGTGTGTGCGTGTGGAAGTATGCGTGTTGTGTGAATACTCATGAAACGCGGAATGGTCGAAACGCGACAACAGCAGCGCGCCCAACATGGCAATTTGTTCATCTCAACTCGGTACCCAAACCTCCCTCCCTTCATGCATGCATGCAAGCAACATCACCTCAGCCAGCCGCTTGACGGCGTAACTGCGGACCACAGGGTGCTCAAAGTCCTTCCCGAGCAGCCCGAGCGCCGTGTGCGTGTCAATCGGCTCCCACGCCTCGAGCGTCTCCTGCGCCTGCTTCGCCTCGGCCTGTGGTCATGCAAGGAGGTCGAGGTGGAGGTGGAGTTGGTGTGTGTGTGTGTGTGCGTGCGCGTGTGCGTGATGGGTGGGGATAGGAAAAAAAAAAGAAGGTAAGGGCGGTGCCACAACTGCGGAAGATGGACGGACAGACGGCCAGATTGGCACACGCTTGCACCCATGCCAGCACGACAGTAAGAGCGGTGCAAACATACTGGGGAGGACCAGTCGACGGCGCGAAGAACTTTTGGAAGCGCGTGCGCATTTCGGGAGAGATAGAAGCGGTACCGCCTGCACACACACACACACACACACACACACACACACACACACACACATCCAAACACATGTCACAGCCCTGCGAATTACTTCCACAATCGCGCGAGCACAAGCACAAGAGCGCAAGCAGCTGCATGTCGATGCGCACCAGAGCAGATCCTTCTCCTCCAGCACAAGCGGTTCCGTCACAGATTTGCGAATGATTTCGGCAAGCTTGTCCCTGGCGGCCGCAAACACACGTGCGCAGATGTGAGGCGGAGAGGACGCGAAGCGTGAGACAGACGGCTTTGCTTCAAACATCAACCCCCAACGCGCTTGCGCGCACACAAAGCCAATCAGCAAGTCAAGCAACCCACTCGCAACTCAATCACCACAGACCATTTCAAGTCACTCCAACAGCACCCACACCAGTCCAAACCAGTTAGCATGAGTCCGTCCCCCCCCCAACCACCACCACCACCACCACCACCACCACCACCACCAACATCAGACCGGGTGGAGGGCGTTGGCTTGAGATCGCGGTCGAGGAAACCGCGACGGCGGCTGCGCATCTGCTGGTGGTGCTTCACCTCGACAAGATTCTCCGTGAACATCATCTCAGGGTCCTCGTTCTCCCGCAGCATCTCTGGTGGGCAGGAGGGACAGGGGGTTTGTGTGTGTGTGTGTGTGTGTGTGTGTGTGTGTGTGTGTGTGTGTGTGTGTGTGTGTGTGTGTGTGTGTATGTGTATGTGTGTGGTTTTTGTGAGTGCCAGCTATTCGAAGAAAAGCGTGCAGGTTAATTCACGGAGGCCACTTGCAACAATTCAAAACCAGCACAACCACATCACGATCACCACCAACGCCAACTGCTGCCACCACTCACTCATGTGCTCGACAGTATCGAGTCTGTCTTCGCAGAAGAGGACATCTGAGGGGAAACGGGGTAGGTCCACCACAAGATATGACACCGTCGACGCGGCAAGCAGGTCCTGGTGGTTGGCGAGTGATGGCATAGGGGGGGGGGGCGAGGTATTGAGGGTGGGGGGAATGAATGCATTGATGTCGGCGTGTGGACGCGAGAACAAATAAACAAGTGACCATATGCGCGCTTGTCGCATTCGTGCGTGCACTGCACTGCACTGCACTGCGCACACCATCAGCGTGAGGCCAAAACGCAACGTCTCCACCACCAAAGGAACACATGTGCACCACCCACCTCGATTTCGCTGGCGAGCCGGCTGTTTGTGAGCTCGTCAAGCCACTCAACATGCAGCATCCGCCCCGCATTGTACTGTGAAATCAGCTGTGTGTGTATACACATAGACACACACACATAGGCACACACACAGACACAGACACAGACACAGGCACAGACACACAAACACAAAGGAGGCGTGCAGATGTGAGGATGGTTGAATATTCGTGTGCACGGTGGGAGGTGTTGCAAAGGTATTCACGTGTGTTTTGCGTGTGGACAGAGTGTATCACAAGATACTGCAGGGACAGAGCGTTGTCGTGATGTAAACTCACCTGCTGCACTTTCTGCACGTCTTTGCGGACAGACTTGGCGGCTGGTGGGGTGTCGGGCTGCTTGACCTGCGATGGAACGAGTGCATAAGAGACGAGGCACGGGCGGTGCAGTGGTTGGCACGGACGATGACGAGAAGGGGGCGCATGACGTTTAGGGAGCAGCCACAACAGTGACGCTCGGTGAGCGCGCACACAAATCACAGACGCGTGGCAGACTTGATACACATCGACACAAATTGAAAGCCCTTCCCGCACCCGTCCCCCCCCCACACACACCTCGACGTATTGTCTTCCGGTGCGCAGTGTTCCGCACTCGTCAAAGATGGGCAGAGACGCGGTGCCCACTTTCTTCCGCTGTTTAAAACACCACATGAGCGACGCGTGGTGAGAAGTGCGTTTGCGTGTGTTCATCTGATGGAAGCGACATGCGACAGACACAGACACACACACACAGACACAGACATACACAGACATACACAGACATACACACACACACATGCACAGATACATACACAACCACAAACACAGACACCTGGGAGCAAACAAACAAGCACAATGGCTGGCGCAAACAAGTAAGCACCATGGCTGGCCCGCGCGTGTCCCAGATGGAAAAGTCCAAGCACGTGTTGCGAGGAAGATCGCTGTACAGGAGCGGCAGCTGAATGTCCTCTGCACACATACCATATCATGACGCAAGCCATCAAGCCAGAGGAACAATGGTTTGTTGTTGTGTCGCCCAAAGCGGAAGAGAGGAAGCAAGGTGTGTGCACGCAACATCATACCGATGGCCGCCACCAGCCATCCTCGCACACGCACTAGCATGTCCAGCTATGCAGATGCACAACGAACCGGTCCATGTCGGGTGCGAAGATGAAGGGCAGTACGAAGTCTCGCGTGGAAAGCCGAGCGTGTGGCTGCCGGATGTCAGCATGCACTCCACGGACACCTCTGCGCAATGCCATTGAAAGCAGACAAACATCGGACGCATATCAGCGTCATGATTGGTGAGAACTCGGGCACGCATGTGCAGCGTTGCATCGCCCACCCGGGAAAGCCGGCAGTTGTACTACCAACACACACACACACACACACACACACACACACACACACACACACACACACACACCTGGAATGCCGCTTCGCTGCAGTGCGTAGAAGAGGTACTCATCGTCCATCATGGGCTCATTGTCGTTCTGGCCGCCCTGCAAGCTGTGTCTGAGTGTGGGTCGCATGCGGAAAGTGGCGAGCACGCACAGCGTTTTCAGGTGCGTGCGTGAGATGGTGTGGCTGACGTCAGCAAGCAATATACAAGGTCCATCCAAGTCTTTGGTGGACACAAGACAGCACAAACTCGTGTAGATTGAACGTGAACAAAACACCCCCGTCATCATGACAAGAGCCCAATGCATTGTCAAAAGAGATTCGTCTACACTCGAGCAACAGCACCACGCTGAGCCCCCTTGTTGCCACGTACATGGTGAGGGACACTGTTTGCGCCAGGTCACAGCTCGGCACATAGCTGAGCGTCTCCTGGTCCTCGTTCAGCAACCCTTCCGAGAACGAGTCGGTCGTCGTGCTGCTCATCGTCGCTTCTTGTTGCCTTTGCTTGTTTTTGTTTGTTCGTTGGACGTGGACTACTGTTTATGATGTCGATTAACCAGGTGCACCCACAGCCGCAAGGATCACCATCCATCACCATCCATCACCACCATCCATCACCATCCATCACTATCACCATGCATCCCTGCTTCCCTCTCGCATTCCCTCCAATCGTTCCCTCAATCTCCAACCATTCCCCACGTCACTCAGCGGCAGAGAGGGCGTGCTTGATGGCTTGCACGCGCGGGGCAGAAGCGCGTTTATGGGAAAACTCTGGCGGGAAGAGACCAGCACCCATGTGCACGGCAGTGTTGCGAAAGCCCATAGCGCTGTCCACGCTGGCACGCGCGCTGCAGTGCACCTCCACCACGCCGGCCTCGCTTGCTATCCGCTGCGCGTTGTGTTCGGAGACGCCGCCGCCAGCCATGAGCGTGATGCCGTGCTCGCGGGCCGTGGCAGCCAGGCTGCAGATCACGGGCGCACCTTCCAGTGCCGTCGCCCGCCCGCCACTCGTCAGCACGCGCTGCACGCGATTCGCGCCAAAGGCCGTGCCAAGCGTCGCCAGCGCAGCCCGCATGTCCCGCACCATGTCAAACGCGCGGTGGAAGGTGACGGGCAGCGGTCCGCACGCGGCCAGCAGCTTCTTCATCGCTGCCGTGTCCACGTCACCGTCTGCGTTCAGCGCGCCAATCACAAACCCTTGAATCCCACACGCGCGTAGCGCCTCAATGTCGTCCACCATGATTTGCACTTCGGCCTCGCTGAACAGAAAATCGCCCGCCCTTGGCCGAACCAGCGCAAACACCTTGACATGCGCGTGTGTGTGTAATTGCGTGTGTGTATGTGTAAGAGTGTAAGAGTGTGCGTGAGCGTGCACGTGCCTGTGAGTGCGAGCGCATGTAGCATGATGGTCTTTTCTCTCAACCCCCATCGCATGCCTCGCGTACACTCCACCGTCGATTGCACACCCCCACCCACACACATTCACAAACACACACATGCGTTCACACGTACGGGAATGGAGACGGCGCAGACCACGGCTTTGGCCAGGCCCACTGTTGGTGTCAAGCCGCCCTCTGATAGCGCACAGCACAGCTCCAACCGATCTGCCCCTGAATGTGTCGGAACGCACGCGCGCGAGTTTGTGTGTGTGTGTGAGGTAATGTTGGGTTTGAGGGTGGTGAGCGATGATGAAACCTCTCAGCGAAACGACCAGGCTACACACACACACACACACACACACACACACACACACACACACACACACTGTTACATTGTACACACCCCCACCCACCCACATAGCCACACACACACAACACACAGAATTACATGACACACCTCCTTGTTGTGCTTGAGCAGCGGAAGCAACCGAGTCCACGCACACCTCCAGCACAAGCGGATTGTGCTGTGTGCGCTCCTTCCAGAAGACGTGGCAGTGCTTGAAGCGTGGAACAGACTGCAAGGCCGGCGGATTGATAAAGTAGAGGTATGGGCAGCCAAGCAGCAGCGTGGCCAGCTGCTCTTGGATGATGGCGTCGGTGAGGTCCCCGCTCTCTGCCCATAGCACGGAGTGGCGGATGCCGTCCTCCACGTTGTATGGAAAGTCGTTGTCACGCAAGATGTACCGCCGCCTGCGCTTGGCGGGGTCCGGCACCACCACCTCAAACAGCCCCGTCTCCGCGTCCGCGTGCACGGGGTATCCAAACACCACGTTTGCCAGGTGGTCTGTGGGTGACTTGTAGCACTTTGTCAGCGCCTTTCGCCAAGCGCGGTACCGCGCCAGCTCCGGCGTCGATCTGCCCAGCACCTCCACCCGCTGTTCCTCAATCAACGTCCTCAGCTCGTCCCAGCTCAACGCCCGCGCCAGCGACCCATCCTCCAGCTTGTTCACCTCCATCGCACTGGTGGTGCTGGTGGGTGGATGATGGATGGGATTGTGAGTGGTATGGGTTGATGCGAGTGGATGTGGTTGATGTGGTGGATGTGGTTGATGTGGATGCGACTGCCTGGCACTCCGCGACGGTGTGACTGTGTGTGGCTTGTATAAATGCACAATTTACCCATTTTGGTGCAAAGCCTAAAATCGAACGAATGACTCAATTTGTACAACTCGTTTGAAGCAGGACCGCTGCTGTCGATCAGTCTTGTTTGTTTTGTTTTTGCCTCTTCTTCTTGCTGCTTTTGTTCGATGTCGTCGTTTTTCCTTGTTCTTGCTGCAAGAAGAAGAAGAAGAGAGAAAAGCAACCACCTTCGTTGTTTGTGTGCGTGTGTGTGTGTCATCGCACCTCCATCTCGCACCTCTATCGCTCGCACCCGCAGCTGTTCGAACCCCACTCCCCACCAAACCAAGCACGCCAACAAGAAGCAAGTGAGGTTGGTTGGTTGGAGGGACCGCGTGGAGGAGAGAAAGGAGTGCAGTGAAGGGGAAAGAGAGAGAGAGACACACACACACTCATGTGGTGATCACATCACACACGCACCTTGTGCTGCTGTGCTGTGTCGCTTCCTCGCTGTTGCTACCCACCACACACATACACACACACACACACACACACACACACACACACACACACACACACACACACACACACACACACACACACACACACACACACACGCAAAGTGTTAACCATCTTGCACATCACCCATCCACACCAAGGCACCACCACCACCACCATCCTGCTTGTTTGTTGCTTTTATCTGCGATATCTTTTCTTGTTCTTGGTCTTCTGCCTGCTTTTCTTCTTGTGGTGTTTTGTTCATGTCACACCACATCCATCCACAAGCAACCCCCCCCCCGCCTCTGTCGGCGTCCCCAAAGAACAACACCCTCCTGTTCCCAACAAGCAACGGCACACACGTTTCATGCCTCCTTCGTCCCCAATCCCGTTCTCATTCCATTTCGTCCCATCCCATCGTTTGGCAAACAACAACAACAACAACAACAACAACAACAACAACAACAACAACAACAACACTCACCACCAGCAGACATCGTTGACGCCATCCACCCCGCTTGCACCTCGCGTCGTGAACACACGCATTTGTATCCGCGACTGCGGTTGTTCCGAGCATCTTGGGCCTGTGACCTGTTTGCCTATCGCACGGCCCGTTCAAGATGGACGTGGACCCCGACGCGCTGCTGGACTTTCTCAGCGTGCCCGGAGATGCGCAGATGACTGCGCTGGAGCAGCTCTGCATGCTCCTCCTCCTCTCAGACAACGTCGACCGCGTCTTCCGCCAGTACGTGTGTGTGTGCGTGTGCGTGTAGGTGCGTGTGTGTGTGTGTGTGTGTGCGTGTGTGCGTGTGCGTGTAGGTGTATTCGCGACTGAAGGACTTGGGTTGTGCTTCGATGCACCCTCGTATTTGAATGTACATGGGGCCATCCGTTCCATCTCCTCGTTGACACACACACGCATACATGCACGCGCACACACATACGTACACACACACACACACACACACACACACACACATACATACACATCCAGGTTCCCGCCATCGTCGTTTGTGCCGGCGCTGTGCAAGATTCTTGTCAGCGACACGGCGACGCCAACTGTGCTTGAGGCCACGCTGCGCGCTCTCTCGTTTTTCCTGGACATCTCGATGGACTGCGTGGGCCGCATCACCTCGTGCGATGGCGCCATCTCCGCCATCTGCCGCCACCTCGAGGCTGCAGACCTCACCGACGCAATCACAAAGGACATGGCCATGCAGAGCACAAAGGTGTGTGTGTATGGCGTTAGGACACAGTTGGTGTTTTTATTGTTTCGCGTTTGTATGATTGTTGGTGGTTTAAGATGTTCCTTATTGTTGTGGATGGACTCCGCATCTGTTCCGCATTGCAACAATAACAACACCACACACACACACACACACACACACACACACACACACACACACACACACACACACACACACACACACACACACACACACACACGGCCCCCCCCCATCAGGTGCTCGAGATGATCAGTAACCGCGACACGGCGGCGCTCTACCGGGCCGGTGCCCTGCGCAGCTGTCTCCACTTTGTGGTTGAGGGCCAGTCCCTTGTCTTCCTCGACGCCCTCAAATCCGCCATGAACGTCGTCGTCAGATGCTGCAGGTGTGTGTGTGTGTGCGTGTGTGTGCGTGCGTGTGTGCGTGTGTGCGTGTGTGCGTGTCGGTTTGTCACCGCTTCATTCGCAATAACTCCTCGCCCCTCCCTGACCGTCTTTCATTCCCACCTTCACGTCAAACAACACCAACCAACCAACACATCTCCCCCTCGACCACGGCAGCCGCATTGATGAGAAGGACGACTATCTGCCGCAGGTGATTGAGCACCTCAACACGCTGCTCGACAGCGAGCAGCCAGACCTCAGGAACACCGCCCTCCAGTGCTACGGCACACTCACAGGTGCGTTGGCGTGCGTGCGTGTGTGTGTGTGCGCGCGTGCGTGATATTTGCGCATGTGTACGTGGTACGCAGCAGAATTGTAAGCACGAATGTGCCATGCCTGCCAAGCTTTCCATGTGTTTCAGCACACACACACACACACACACACACACACACACACACACACACACACACACACACACACACACACACACACACACACACGCTCTCGACCCCGCCATCCCCTCAACTCACCTCCCTTTTCACGTCTCTGCCAACCCCGCCCACGATGTGTCATTCATTCCACAGACAAACTTTCCCGCCAAAAGGGCGACCTTGGCGCGCTGGCGACGGAGGGCACAGTGCGGTCGCTGCTGCGTCTCATCTGCAGCACCGCCTCCACCGCATCCGACGCCGAGCTCGAAATTGCCCGCATCGCCCTCAACACCCTCAACGCACTCTGGTGTGTGTGGATTGTGTGTGAAGGGGAAGGGGCGTGTGTGAACGGGTGCTTGGTCCATAGGTTGTGTTTTGTGTGCCTTCGCGTGCGCTTGTGAACGTGGTGTGTGCGTGTGGTGTGTTCGTGCTTTGAGCAGTCTGGTTGATTGTGGTTTTCACGACGGCAGCACGAAATCGAAACCAACCAATCAAGTCTTACCATCGTCACCACCACCACCACCATCACCACCAATCTTGTATACGCTCCAGGTACGGCGCAGACACGTCGCGCCACGATGAGGACGGGCGGACGGCGCTGGAGTTGGCGCAGGCCGGCGAGCACCAGGCGTGTGCGGACATTCTGTCCAGTCCAGAGCAACACATGGAGGAGGCTGAGGACGAGGAGGACGAGGGCGAAGAAGAAGACGACGGCGGCGATGGTGATGCCGATGCTGCGGAGAGTGATGCAAGCTCGCCAACACGCGCGGCGGTGATGGGAACGCACTCGATCATGGGCGACGGGACCCCCGACATCAAGGATGAGGCAGCGCGCACATCCGACGCGCCAAACGTGAGACGCCTCCCCCCACGCGCGATGCGCTGTGCTGTTGTGTGCAGAAGGGAGTTGGTGCTGGCACGGAATGCATGTGTACTCGTGTTGTGGTTGTTGGTGGTGTGTTGTGGTTGTGGCAGGAGTGGCAGATGGTCATACACATTCCACGTCTTGTGTTGTGCCGTGTTTCGTGTGTGTGTTAGCGCTCGACTCTCGATCCGTCACAAACACATGCTACGATTGTCATCAACCTCACGTTGCTGCGATTGTACTGTGGCTACGTGTCCATCCATGTGTCCATCCATGTGTCCATCCATGTGTCGCCAGCCGCTGTTGGACCTGAGCATGATGTGCGCAGAGCAAGTTGTGCCGCCGCTCGCCACCGCCCTCACAAACCTCTCATCCGTCAGTTTTGTGGTGACGCGTGCTTTGTCGCATGCTGTATTTGTATGTGTGTGTGTGTGTGTTTGTTCGTTTGATCTGTTGGTGCGTGTGATTGCAGGTGTTTTCCTGCGCGCGCCGTTTCCAGTCGAGCCTGTTCATTTCATCTTGTCTCTCCCATCATTCCACGCAACGCGCAGCATCCTCCCACCATTCAATGTTTCACTGACGTTTCACCGCTTCTTGTCACACGTGTGTATGTATGTATGTGTGTGTTTTGTGTGTGTGCTGTGTGTGTGTTTTGTGTGTTCAGATTCAGACACAGGGCATGTTGCTGCGTGTGATTGCGCGCTTCACTGCCCATCTCTCACAGGAGGACCTCTCAAACTTCATCCAATACGGACACAACTGTGCGTTGCGCTCTGAATTGCGTGTGCTTGTGTACTTGTACGCGTGTGTCTGTGCATGCTTGTGTGTGTGTGTTTGCCTTTTCTTCTCTCACACACTCTCGTTTTCGTGGTGACACTCTCCTCTCCCTCTTTCCTCACCGGCCATCACCACCACCACCACCACCACCATCATCGTCATCGTCATCATGCCACCTGCCCCTCTGTGCCCATGCGTGCAGTTTCGCTGGAGATGATTCTTGATCCGCTGCCGGAGATTCTCGAGAGCGACGACGGCCAGGCCATGCTCGCAGCCGTCACCATCGTCAAGTCAGACACCCTTGTTGCGCCTGTTTGTTTATTTACTTTGTTTTGTTAAGTGTGGCTGCTCTGACACGTGCATGTGTGTGTGTGTGTTCTTTTTTTCACTTAATTTTTTGTTTTGTTTTGTTTGTATGTTCTTCCATGTGTGTGTGTATCAACCAACAATGTGATTTCACGTTCGCTGTGACTCACTCTGTGCGTTGTTCCCCACTGCCACTGCTCCACGTTCCCACTACGTTTTGCCTGCAGGCATCTTGTTGAGAAGAACGTCCCATCTGCTCGAAATGACATTCTCCGCCTCGGCCTCGTCGCCCGCCTGGCAACGCTGGCAGAGGTGAGCAAAGCAGACGTTCCTTGCTCGTGTCATGCGCGTTTGACGCATGCGTGTGTGTGTGTGTGTGTGTTCTGCGCTCTTTATGCGTGTCCGTGTGTGAGCATTGGAAGCGTATTTGCGCGCGTGTCGCTTGCTGCAACCATCCTGCCCGCCCCCCATCTCACCGTGGCTTTTGCTTGTCTTGATCACATGTGCGCGATACAGCGCGCGGAAGCTCTTGCAAAGGAGACAAAGCCCCAGGAATCAGAGGTCTGTGCAAAACCAATCGTACAAGCATGCGATGTGCAAGCTGACGTGGATTGTGCCTGGCTCCACCTGCCTCACAATCATTGCCCATAATTACTTCAACACGCTCGTATGCCTTTGACGACCTCCATGCCCTCTCCTGCCCCCTCCTCACACCACCACAACCATCGCAACCACCTCAACCACCACAACCACCACAACCACCACAACCACCGCCACTGCGCAGGAGACAATTGAGCCTGGCATGAAGCTTGAGGCTGTGGACCGCAAGAACCCTGGCCTCGTGTGCGTGGCCACCATCCTTGAAATTGACAACAGCCGGCCAGACTGCCTCCACATCCGCTTTGACGGGTGGACCGACAGGTGATTGTGTGGTGGTTGGTTGTTTGTGGTTGTTTATGGGCAGTTTGTGGGTAGTTTGTGGGTAGTTTGTGGGTAGTTGTGAATGTTGATCGCAGCTTCACCGTGTTCACTTGGCCGCGCCATCAACGCCCGTTTCCTCCACCAACCCCAGTTTTCCCTCATCCTCTGTTCTCCCTTCTCGTTTGCCCCTCTTCCCTTTACCACCCTCCTCTTCCCTTTACCCGTCCCTTACCACCCCTCCCAAAACCGCATCAGGTACGACTATTGGGCAGACCCGACGTCAACAGACCTGCGCCCCGTCGGCTGGTGCGAGCACAACTCCCACACGCTGCAGATCCCGCGTGGATACTCGAAGCGATTTGACTGGCAGCAGTACCTGCGGGAGACAAACGCAAAGGCGGCGCCGGCACACCTTCTCGCAACCGTCCATGTGCACGGCGGCCAGGCCAAGAAGCTGCGCGAGGTGAGTGCGCGCGATGGTGTGTTTGTGGCATTGTGTTTAAGTTGTTTAAGTTGTTATTGTTGTTTAATTTTTTTTGCTTCACACGCCTTCTAACGTTCCATATCTTATCACTTCTCTTCCTCCCTCCCGAACCAACACACTTGGACAGGCGCTGACAAAGGCCAAGGCGCTGTACGACAAGCACTTTGGGGCCAATGCGGTTGAACGCGACGTTGTGCGGCGGCTGCGAGAAATCTCCACCATGCTGGTGACGCTTGTTCGCTCCACGCCAAACGCCTGCGTGACGCCGACAACACACGCGTCGCTGGACTTTGCCGTGGACGAACGCCAGGGCGCGTCGACAGCGAAGAACAACAGCAACGCCACGGCAGGGACCCCCACAGGCAGTGGCAGCAGCAG